CTGCTGGTAGCTTTGGTCGCCGCCTTCAGCTCAAACTTCATTAAATATTTTAATTAAATCCTGTTGATTAAAATTCTAATGAGACAAAAAAAGAGTAACATTCATTATAACTAATTAATAAAATTCTGCTTTGAGATAAGGAGTCACTCATTGCTGCAAAAATATTGCAAACTTTTATAAAATCTGACATTTAAAAAAAAAGTTTTCTGGTATTTTTATCAATGAGACAGGAAACAGTTAGGGGGGGGCTGTACCTGGATTACAGGCAGAGAGGAGCAGGAAGGGTTTGTACCATTTTTTATGAGTTCTCTGAGGAGCACAGTGTGAGCAAACACACACACACACACACACACACACACACAGCCACCAACACTAAGATCAAACTGCTATTACAGCTGCAGATTATTGGAAACATGCTCCATCGTGGCGATCTGAGAGCTTTTTAATTAAATTCAGATTGGGGGGTGGGGGGGGGATCTGTGATCAGATCTGATTCTACTTCACAATCCTGCAGGTCTGCGATTCCTGTCGCCCAGTGGTTTGATTAAACCCCGCCCCCCAACAGGGATTCTTCAGCTTAGCAACGGTAACCAGGTACAGCACGCCTGCGGGCTTATTGGCTCGCTGGGGCAAAGCAGCGTTTCAGGGCTCTAACCTTTCTTATTCGATTCACCTGATTTCATTTAAGCTTTTCTGGATTAAAGTCTTGAATTTACTGAGACTAAATTATAAATGTGAAGTGTTAACCCGAGCTTAGGACCACAGCTGGATTTGTTTTTCCTCAGGTGTGAATTAAAGAAAAAAATAACTTATGCTTTTCACAATTAACACACAGATGTTGTACATTTTCTCTAAGCTGAAGCAGTTTGGTGAAAGACACACACACACACACACACACACACACACACGTGGGAGCAGGTGTTCAAACAAAGGGAACGAGCTTTCATCAACCCACCACCTCTACATCCCAGGTGGAAAGATGCAACACACACCTGGATGTGCAGACAAAGACGTTACACCCCGCATGGAAGAATACCGATCCTGTGGAAGCGCGACACTTTTGTCAGAATAATAAACGACGACTCACCCAGAACTTGATCAGGTAGAAGGCGTTCTGAGGACCTTTGCTAAAGAGCTCTTTCAGGCCGCCCTTCTTCTCCGGGAACTTGTCGTAGATTTGCCGGATGTCCACGCACTCCAGCAGCGGGTCGCTGTAGCTCGGGCTGCTCTGGCTGATGTGCACAAACAGGTGCTTGTTGTACTGGAGAGAGGAAAACAAGATTTTGTTTTTGAAGCTAGTGTGAAAATCTGAACGTACACGCGGCTAATAAACACCGATGACCCTGAACGCTGCGGTTACTGTATTTAAACAAGACGCCTCCCTCCGCTCTCAAAGTCGGGGTAGAACACTTTTTCTGTGCTGTCCAAACAGAAGACAGCAAGATGAATGCCAGCTGTCGGTGAGCCCAAGGTAGAAAAATGACAACGAGGCCGCAACGTGGCAAGATGACAGATAGAGCGAGCCGACGGAGAGATAGAGCTTTACAAAGGTTATTCATACTAGGAGGCACACAGAGGGCTTTAATGCTGCTGCTCTGCTGCAGGGTTATCTGTCATCTCTGTTTATATGACAATAGGGGGGGGGGGTGTGTGTGTGTGTGTGTGTGTGTGTGTACTCACTGCCTCCTGATCCCTCTGTGTCTCCAGGAAAGATGAAAACTCCACCAGTCGTAGTTTGGTGGTGCCGATGGAGCGGCCCTGCCACGCTGGCTCCCTGTGCGTCTGGGCTGCAGCAGGAGGCTCGTATGCTACACACACACACACGCACACACATACACGCACACACACGCACGCACGCACACGCACGCACGCACACGCGCACACGCGCACACACGCACACACACACACACACACACACACACACACACACACACACACACACACACACACACACACACACACACACACACACACACACACACACACACACAATTGTCACAATGTGCTGAAATGTGTTTCTTACCCCTCCTTTCCACAGGAGCCATCAGCAGCACGTCATAGCTGCTGATAGGAACCGCTGTGGTCAACAGAACCTTTTCCACCGGAGCCGTATGTCGCGGCCTTTACGCGCCGGTTTTATTCTCTACGTGTTACGCCTCTGAAACGGGTCAAGTTCGACATTTTTGGGGAAGGAAAGACAGGAAATCGGACGCGGAAATGGAGCAAAGCTCCCGAGATTTTCAGAATAAAGAACGTACTGCCTTCCGGTTGCTTTACTTTTAAAAAAAAGTTACTAACTGTGCGTCCCCGTGAGAAGTTATCACCTAGCTAGCGGTCTCCTTTGTTTTTCAGGTCCGTATTGGCGATTATAAAACGGACAGAACATAAAACACAAACCATGTTGTAGTTTTCTCCTGCTTGTTGTTGTGTTTACTGACGAAGTCACTCGTGTGACTTCGTGCTCGGTCGGTGACAGCTGCTCCCCTGCTGCTACGCGACTCGTGGGAAGGGCCGAGCAGCAGCTCACGCGAGCAAGACGTGCTGCTGCAGTAACGTAAGGGGCAGCAGCAGCTCAACAGGTTGAGCGGGTTGTCCAGTAATCGGAAGGTTGCAGGTTCGATCCCGGCTCCGGACAGAATTCTGCTGTTGTGTCCTTGGGCAAGACACTTAACCCACCTCGCCTGCTGGTGGTCGGAGTGCTCGGCAGCCTCGCCTCTGTCAGTGCGCCCCAGGGCAGCTGTGGCTACATCGTAGCTCATCCCCATCAGTGTGTGAATGTGTGTGTGAATGGATGAATGATGCACTGTAGTGTAAAGCACTTTGGAGTCCTTAGTCTGAGAGGCGCTACACAAGTGCGGGTCATCTATCATTTAACGTGCTGCTGACGGCTCCTGTGGAAAGAAGGGGTTAGAACATGTAAACCATCTGCCTTCACTGGAGCCCTGGAGAGAAATAAAGCTGCAGCTCATTTACAGCTGTTATCGTCAGAAATGCGATTTTTCAGCTTTCTGCGCAGCCGTTCGGTCCAAAGACGTGTGACGATATTCAGATTTGAGTTTCATGGTTTTAGTAACAACCAGAGACCGCTGCAGCGTGATTGTAATGTTGAGTTGCTGTCAAACTAAAACTAAATTACAGTTTCATATCTTTAACATCCAGATGAGTTTTGGACCGTCTGACTGCTTCACTCAGCAAGACCCAACAGGTCAGGAAACCACCTATTCACTCATTTACGCATGCTCCCTGACCCAGATGAACTGGTGAGGGGTTTGGGACTCTTACAGGGCTGTGGGTTGCCCAGTAGGTTAATACTCATATGTTGCTTTGGATAAAAGCGTCTGCCGAACAGACTTTAACAGAATCCAACCTGTTAGTAAAATGTTTCCTGTTTTCTTTTTCCAGATCCGTGTTTTAAAATGTCCCCAAACAAGGCGAGAGGAATCGGTTTGACCTTTATGAAAGACAAAAGGAGGAGAGCCGGAGACTCTGGAGTGGAAGACCTCCCCTCTCACCTGCGATGGTGGTGGTTCCCGCCGTCTGCACAGAGTAGGCCTGCTGGGAGAACGGCTTGATGCTGCGAGAGAGACGAGAACCCATTACGTACAAGAAGGGACGCCGTCGCCACATTAAGCTAACGAGAGTGTGCTCTGGGTCTGGGATGAAGAGAAGCAGGAGCACAGAGGTCAAGAGCAGCTGTGAGTTCGGTAAAAGCTGCTCAGCCTCATTTCCAACCATCAGCTCGTGCACATGTGACAGCGCATGTGAGCGGCTAATGGAGGAGAAGATCTGCTGTTAAATCAGAGCCTTGCAGGTTGATGTTGTACCAGAATACAGTAATCAGCACAAAGGCAGGTCCTGTGCTGGCTGATGCGCATGAATCAGCCGAGGCCAGCGAGCACAAACAGCCCGACTCGCTCATCATCATTTAGCGGCTTCATCACCTCGTTCTTCAGGTGTGGAAAATGTGTTCAACGGCCCATTTTTCTACAAAACCTCCGAAAGGATTTCTTCCTGTGTAACTAACTGGGCCGGTAGGTGTTAGACTGGGCCTGTTAGACTGGGCCTGTAGGTGTTAGACTGGGCCTGTAGGTGTTAGACTGGGCCTGTAGGTGTTAAGACTGGGCCTGTAGGTGTTAAGACTGGGCCTGTAGGTGTTAAGACTGGGCCTGTTAGACTGGGCCTGTAGGTGTTAGACTGGGCCTGTAGGTGTTAGACTGGGCCTGTAGGTGTTAAGACTGGGCCTGTAGGTGTTAAGACTGGGCCTGTAGGTGTTAGACTGGGCCTGTTAGACTGGGCCTGTAGGTGTTAGACTGGGCCTGTTAGACTGGGCCTGTAGGTGTTAGACTGGGCCTGTAGGTGTTAGACTGGGCCTGTTAGACTGGGCCTGTAGGTGTTAGACTGGGCCTGTTAGACTGGGCCTGTAGGTGTTAGACTGGGCCTGTAGGTGTTAGACTGGGCCTGTAGGTGTTAAGACTGGGCCTGTAGGTGTTAAGACTGGGCCTGTAGGTGTTAAGACTGGGCCTGTTAGACTGGGCCTGTAGGTGTTAGACTGGGCCTGTAGGTGTTAGACTGGGCCTGTAAGTGTTAAGACTGGGCCTGTAGGTGTTAAGACTGGGCCTGTAGGTGTTAGACTGGGCCTGTTAGACTGGGCCTGTAGGTGTTAGACTGGGCCTGTTAGACTGGGCCTGTAGGTGTTAGACTGGGCCTGTAAGTGTTAAGACTGGGCCTGTAGGTGTTAAGACTGGGCCTGTAGGTGTTAGACTGGGCCTGTAGGTGTTAGACTGGGCCTGTAGGTGTTAGACTGGGCCTGTTGGGGGTTTTGGTCAGTAACTGAATATTTAAAGGAGAAAGTCCCAAAAATGTGAACAAATAAAAACCGTCACACAAATGTCTCCATCTGCATTTTTCTGTTGCCAACTGGTCACAGCCCAGTGAGATACTGGCCTCGTAAAAATAAAAGATGGGTGCATAATTTAGCGGTGAAGAAACTATTTTAACAAAATCACTCATTCGTCACAGAAAGTTGGATAAGAGAGACTCACTCCTCTGTGGCGGAGCTGGACTGTCCTCCTGGAATCATCCCCTGCCACAACTGAAAGTAAATATAGAGTTAAAACAAACTGAATATTAATGCAGAGGTGTGTGTGTGTGTGTGCGCGCGCGTTAAACCTGCGCGTTGCCGGGGAAGCTGGCTCGCATTATTCCAGGCAGCAGCTTGCTGTGAATGGCCGTGGCCGAGACGATCTGAGCCGAGGACATGGTGGAGATGCTTTGCAGAGCTTTCTCCTTGGCACTCTGGTCCTGCATGAGATGAACACACACACACAATACCTCATCAACGAGAGCACGCTTCACACACTGCGTATGGGGAGGTGTACAACTACTGATATGGGAGCACCGTGAGACGAGCGGCACTCTAAACGTGCAACACGGAGACGAACGTCAGCTGTTGGAGCGGCTGCCTCCAGGGTGCAGATTTACAGAGACGTTAAACTTCTGGGCTCATTTGTGAAATCTGAAGCGAGAGCCGAAAACAGCTGACTGAAATAGAATTAGAGGCACTGCAATAGCTGGAGGATTACTAATTGGCCGCTTCACTCAAGTTAATTGGCACTGAGAGAAATATCTCCTCCTGGGAGGCGTAACGACATTACAGGAGGCACCGGGATGGGAATCGGGCTGGATTTTCATATTAAAGACCAGCAACCATACAGGTTCCACCTGTGGGCCGGTCCAAGAGGATAAAACCACAACAGCTGTGTCCCAGCAGGATCACGCTCCATGTCACAAAGCTCAGATCATCTCCAACTGGTTTCTAGGAATCAGTCCGGTCCAGAACCCCCGGGGTGTGGTGGATGAGGAGGTTCTCATCACGGATGGACCAAAACCTCCGAGGACCACCTTCACTGATCTGTGACACCGAGGTAAAAGGAGTCCCAGCTCGGTACCAGCTGGGTGGAATCCCGGGTTAAAAACCCCCATCTCTAAATGACTCGGTGTGTCTGAGATCCGTGTTAATCCAGATTACTTTAGTTCCCGACTGTAACGAGCTCTGTCGCTTATTTTATGACGGTAAACATCAATCTGGCTTTCTCTGGAAAAACAAGCTGCTCTTTGTTGCCTTCACACGAAGTTAATTACAACCAACAGCGAGGAAGAAAGGCGGTGAGGAGGGTAGGAGATTAACGGACTGAGGAGTGGAGAGGGAGTGAGGAGAATGGGAGGAGGAGCAGGAGGAGAAGCTAAGCGGGCCTAATTAGACACCTAGGATACCGGCATCCTTCCAGCCTCCTTAAGGACCGCTTCTGTGGGTGGTGCTTTCACATCCACAGCAGCCCTCGGGCCTCATCTCTGTTCCCAGCTCCTCCAAACAAACCGGGATCGTGAAACTTCCCGAGTTACACCAGAAATGATTCCTCCAACCATCCGCAACCCACCTTTAGTTTGGACTGAAATTCCCTGGATTTTCTTCTAGCCAAGACCTGGATATGACTGGATACCTGGAGAGGAGGGGGAGACCAAACAGTGAGTTGCCATGGTTATGAAAGGACTGTTGCCATACTGGACACACACACACACACACACACACACACACACACACACACTGCACTCCCCTGAGAACAGTGAATAGACCAATCTACGCACATCTTTTGAGAGGGCAACGAGACACCAGAGCTCAGATCGACACTTCACTGCCATGTTTCACCCTCTCCACAACATCTGCAGCAAAGGTCTCACTAGAATATAATAAATGATGGTCTGTGTTTTTAATTATTGCTGAGAAATGTCCCTAATAACACGGACAGGCTTTGTGGTTCCCCTAAACTCCCTCTGCTGCACAGAAACAGGTTCATGTTCAGTGGCGGATTTAGCAATTTGGGGGCCCAAAGCGAACACAGACATGGGGCCCCCTTAAGGTGGGCGGACACTGTGCGACTTTTTCACTCGTAGCACTCAGATTCAGCTCAAACTGTACGACTTCCTGGCTGGGCAGATCTCACGAGTCGTGGGCTCACGCTGTACGTCTGGTAGCAACACATCGGACCTAAAAATATGCTAAAAACAGCAGCTTTTACACAACACGTCAGACTTTTTTGTCTTGTTTTGCCTGTTGTCCTTCGGGAGTGCTGCAGGGGGACACACGGGGATTTATGGGGGTTGGATGAGGAAAACAAAATAAAGAAAGTAAATCTGTGTTTTGTGATCAGTTTAATTTGACATGAACACGACAAACACGCTTTCTTGACAATCTTTGCGAGTAAAAAAACGTGTAGAAATAAAAATGAACAACGTGTGTTATTAGGGAAACAGCGGGCGAGCGGTGTTGATGCAGGATTGCGCATGCGCCGTGAGCGGTTCTGATACTTTTTGGGTCGCAGCTGCTAGCAGCGCCGCTTCAACAGTGCGATACCCTCACGAGGAACGAGCAAAATATTAAACACGCCAGATGTCCGAGCGAGCTCACGATTGCTGATCGGTAGCTGGTCACGTGGTGTTAATCGCCTCTCGTAGCCCCCTGTATGCGATGTGGATGTGGATTCTCGCACGAGTGGAAAATCGGCTCAAAAAAGTGAAAAAGTCGCACGTGTACGCCCGGCTTTACACTAAATTTTCGACTATCTTATCTTTAACTGGATTTGGAAAACTCTCCCCTCTTCTGACGTGACTTATTTTCACTTTTTATTAGTGCTCCTCTTTTTTCCTGTCTTTCTCTCCCTTTGAGGGCTTTCAGTGCTCCTGTGCTTTTTGCCTTTATTGTTTTTTTTCTTCCATTTTCCATTTTGGTCTGTGTTTTCTTCCCTTTAAACATTTTCTATTGTCTTTCCTTTTCTGCTTCATTTTGATGTTTACATAGAAAAACGACATCACTTTCGGAAGTGAAGATAAAAGCTTTTTTAAAGCGAGCTGCTTCTTTCTCTTATTGGAGCCACTAGGATAACTCCATTTCATGCTGAATGTTTTGACTCCCGCTTCGAGTTTGTTACGAACGCTCCCGCCTCTCTTCTCCTTTTTCCTGCTTTCTCTTCTTATTTGTGGTCTTATGACACTTGGCAAATAACAATTTCGTGCATTACTGCCACCAACTGGATTGGAGTGGAATGACTACCCTTAATCTGCCACATTAACCTGCACAGGCCTTCTAAGACAGGACTGGCATCAAACCTCTGCAAGAGCGTGCTGGAAGAGCGGAAGGTGGCAAAAAGGTGCTGATTCCTTTGATGACATCATTTTTGTGACCATTTGAAAATATCTTCTGGGAAGTCCCGCCTACTCATCTGGACACAGTCATGGAGGCGTTTACACATCCAACAGCTAAACGCGCAAAAACAAGGCTAGAACACAGTAAATGCACAAGAACTGAGTTTTGATTTGCTAGTTTACATGGAGGGGGCGGGACTTAATACTTGTACCGGAACCAACCACTGGGGGGCGAGAAATTTGTTTTGGTCCCTTATTTCATTTTTCCTCTTAACGCCCCAGACGTGGGATTTAGTGTCCAGCAGAGGGCGACAATCAGAACTAAAAATGAACCGTGAAGGCTACATTTTATTATTAATCTTTGTAGAACGCTCCAGTTCAGAAAGGACTCACACCAAATGTTTTCTTGATTTATTTAATAAAAAACGAATCCCTAAATTTCTTTATATTTAGATTGTTTTGTGCAGGGTTCTAGTAATTCCTGCCATTCTTTCTGGGCCAGTGTGTGTGTGTGTGTGTGCGTGCGTGCGTGCGTGTGTGTGTGTGTGTGATTTAATACTGTGATGCATTCTTCGTACACTATGATTTGATTTAAAACACAATCCCATCGTTACCTGTTTTCTTGTCCGCGTCTTGCCGGTTCGTAGTTTGATGTATCTGGCTATCAGCTCGTTTCGGCCTGGAGAGAAAAACAAAGCATTAAGTGCATCTTTTTCCCACTGTAACACACACACACACACACACACACACACACACACACACACAGTTTGTCACTCTTTCTTTAAGACAATCACACGACTCTGACAAACAACTTAGCTGCTTGTAAAGAGCTGTGGACCCAGTGATCCTGTGACGTGCACTTTCACATGGAAACGCTGTAATCACCGATACCCCTGTTGAGTTACACACACACACACACACACACACACACTCACACAAATCACACACGCCATGGCCCTGAATACACATGACCCAACAATACAGGCATTCATGCAGACTGGCCGTCCCCTGATTAAAGAAACCAGCAGGCCAGCTGTACCCGTGCTTATGTGTGTGCACGTACATGCACAGACACACACACACACACTTACAATGCTGAATAATTCAGCCCATTCACAAGGGAGCACAGCAAACTCAGCATGACCTGGCCAGTATAGATTAGTGACTGAGAGGAGAAGAGAAAGAAAAAAACTACTTTAAATCTAGAAACCTTGAGACAGAAAGACGTACGTGCGTGCGTGTGTGTGTGTGTGTGTGTGCGTGCGTGTGTGTTGGTTGGTTAGAAAATTCACAGTAGGACGCATTAAGCTCCAGAGTGATTAAAACCTAAAAACAATCACGGATAATCAGTAGGACAAAGTCATTTAAACAAAGCTTTATTTACCAGCAAGCACATTTGTGACTCGGTTCGGTTTGGGTTGGGTTGGTTTGGGTTCTCTCTTGGCCCGTTTTCTGTAGCAGCCAAGTGGAAACCCGGAGTCAGGCCAGCTGGCCAACTGATGGTCAAGATCCACGTGAAGCCAAACCTCTACACACCACCCAAAAGGCTCACAACAATAGCCCTAACTAACTAGCAGATGGCGTGTGTGTGTGTGTGTGTGTGTGTGCGTGTGTGTTTTGACCAGAACCACTGACATGGAGATAGGGAGCTTAGACTGATAAAATCTACAGCTCCACATGCAGGTGTTTTCCTTCTAGCAGTCAAAAGCTGTGGCTGACGACAGCAACTAGCAACACACACACACACACACACACACACACACACACACACACACACACACACACACACACACACACACACACACACACACACACACACAGAGTCCTGGCTGGGGAGGCTGACATCTGACTCCAGAGGGGCCAGCTGGTCTTTCTAGGAGGCTTAACGGTGAATTATCATCCTTCACTAACCCTGCGGCACACATCCCTCGCTCTCGCCCTCCCTCGTTCTCTAAAACTCTCCAGCACTCACTTTCCTCCCTCCCTCCCTCCATCCATCCATCCATCCTCTCTCCCTCCCTCCTCCTCTGTCCCTCTCGTTGTGAATGGGCTTCCCTTCTGCTGCCTCCAGCTTCCTCCCTCTCTACAGTGAAAGACTTCAAGGCCAAAGTCAGATGGTCATTAACCGTGACGAACAGAAGCAATCCCCGCTCACCCTCCCCTTCGCTTTACGGCCAAAACCACTCTGTGTGAAAGCTGATATTCTTGGAGGCAACAAGAAAACAGAACAACTACGTGTGTCAGGAAGGAGGCTGGAAATGTGCTAAAATCATGTTGTTTGCTGATGACGTTAAGCTTTATTTCTAACTTAGTTTGTTTTCAAAACAAAGCAGACTTTGGAAACAAGTCAGCTACTTTATGAGCCGAGTGTGATTCATGAAAATCCTCTGCTTCCTGTGTTTCATGTAGGCATAAATGGATTCTCTTTAAGCTGCGGTAGCACGGCGCTGATCTCCAGACTCAGTTTTCAGTGATTAAGAGCTTCGTCTGCTTTATGGAACCGCTCAAAACTCTTTTCAGAATAAGGTCAAAGCCACTCTGGCCAAACAGGCTGCAGCTGAGTGGTGTGTATTGTCGAGCACCCTGAGAAGACCTCGGGGTCTGGCTCCGAGCCTGGATGCAGCACAGCCAAGGAGGGGTTTGTGCTCGTTGCAGCATCTACGAGGACAACAAAAGGGTTTTAGGCGGCAGGTTTTCATTATTTACTCTCATGTTAGAGCATCATCTCGTTGGTCAGAAGGAGAAAACGGTTGTTTTAAAGTCAGAAGCAACCTGGAGGCATTTAATCCATAGCTGGGCCCGGATTATTAAATTAAGCTCGTTCCCACTACAGGAACTCCAGGAAACTTCTGGGAGAGGGGGGTGGCAAGGAAAATAGTCCGGCTTGGTCCTCTCAGTCGTTGTGTTTCAATAAGAAAAGAACAAATGCTCGGCTGGTCCTTGAAATGGCTCAAAAAAAGGTCCTTTTGGGCTGGAAAGAGGAAATGGAGACAAGCACGTCTTGAACGTGGTGAAGATACCCGGAAGTTCTGATTGTGGAAACGGGTCTGAAGTTAGATAAATGGTAAAGTGATGAATGACCTGCACTTGTATAGCGCCTTTCAGAATCAGAGGACTCCAAAGCCCTTTACACTACAGTGCATCATTTATCCATTCACACTCTGGTGGTGATGAGCTACCATGTAGCCACAGCTGCCCTGGGGAGCACTGATGGGGGCGAGGCTGCTGAGCACAGACTGGTCCTTCCGACCTCCACCAGCAGGCAAAGTGGATTAAGTGTCTTGCCCAAGGACACAGCGGCAGCATTCTCTGTCCGGAGCTGGGATCAAACTTGCAACCTTCTGATTGCTGGACAACCCGCTCTACCTCCTGAGCTGCTGCTGCCCTCAGATGTTATACTCAGGAGTTACAGGAACCAAACGGGATTCCTTCACACCTTACAGGTCTCAAAAAAAGAGCCAGAAAACATCACAACTAAAAAAAGTTTAGCTCATAAACAAAACCACAGGCATATACGTAGATGCCCTGTGGTCTGGCGCTGCCTAGTAGAGCTGGCGTAGCGACGGGCCGCCATCTTGGGTGGGTCTCTGTTCACCCCGAGTGCATCTAACTCTAATGAGAAAGATGTTCAGCCAACTAAAACACATTTTATTATTCTCTTTCACAAAATCAAACACATTGTATGATAGAAAATACAATTCATTTAAATTCATAAAATCCTAACAGGGAGGCTACAAAAGTCAATAGTAATCCCACGTAATCGGTTTTCAGAAGTGCACTGGTTGGTGCAACCATAGGTTTGACAAAAAACAGGCAGAGGTGCTCATTCTGCTTAGAACCCAGTTGGGTTTAGCCAGTGAGGGACCCATCCAATATGGCGCGCTCCAGCGCCCAATGGCACATCTACGTATTCATGTCTATGAACAAAACGTCAAGAGGATGGGTTAGACTTTTCCTCTAGCACTCTACGTAAAACAGTTGCGTTCACCATTTTCATTATGGTAAAAACACCTTGAGGCCAGTTAGCGTCATTAGCGTTAGCTCTGAACATAAAAATGGTTAATCTTGCTTTTTGAAATGTTTATCTTTAAAAGAACAATAGCTTTTTAAACATTAAGCTAGAGCTTTAACATTGATCTCAGTGATAATCGAGTCAGAAACCTGACCAGTTTCATATCCGACACCACTCTGCAGCCTTCTGCTGACCAAAAACCACAATTGACAGTTTTGTTAAGTGGGTAGGTGTCCTAGGGGGCACTCTAACTGCTTTACAGCCATTAGCTGTAAAGCTAGAATTTAGCATTTTCAGTTCGCCGATCGTCAATAAAAATCACAAGAAAAAAAAAAGAAGTTCACTTTTTCTGTTGGCGTCGAAGTAAAAGTAAGAGAATAAAGTCTTTTGAGGCGATGCAAAGAGATAAAACCAGAGTGAACATCGACGTGGCCTACGCTAGTCTGAGGAAGCTAAAGGAGGATATAAAATCATTGACTGATGATGACCTGGCTTTGTTGCTACTGGACTTGTAAGTAATATTTTTGTCCAACAGTGTGGATCCTTTTACTTTGTGGTTTATTTTAATATTAGTTGGCTCATGTCAGTGTTAGCTCGTGGATAGCGCTAGCTGCAGCAGGCTATAGCAAGGGTTTTTATACCACTTGTAATTCCACTTTCAACCAAATTTCCTTGATTTGTATTAAAATGATGGCGTCTGACATCCCGACGTTTTAGCCAACAGGAAACCAGAAGAGAATAAATAAATGGCAACCTCACTGGGAGGTAAAAGAACCGTAAATTGGTCCCACACAGAGAACACTGGTTTCCTTTACGTGAGACGGAGCAGAAAGAACATTGGAGGTCGGACTTTTACAGAGATGTTTACCAACTGCGGCTAATTAATAATCAGCATAAAGGATCTAAAGATTTCACACAAAAAGACGAAAGTCATCGTTGGGTCGGCAGCTTGGTGGAGCATATTTTATTCCCCGTGTCTAACCGACACTACTACACTAATAACATAATATTAGCCTGCATTAATACCACTACTGTCTTTTTATTTTTACTATACTTTAAACGTTTCTCCTTAATCCACGGCCATCAGACCGGAACCCCACAGCTTTTCCTGGAGATAAAAGCTCCATCATCCGCCTCTCTTTTATGTTTCCATGAAGCACTTTTTCCTTTCAGATCCATTTGCCTGAAGCTCGAGAAGTTTATTTTTGTACCATCGTATTGTTAGGCCTCCCATGTTCGGAAGCGTTCATGTAACCAGTGTTAAAGTTCTTCTCCACACCTAGATTTCACTGGTGTTTGCTCGTCCGGTTCGCACTGCTGCGCGTAGTTCAGGGAATTTTATGGATTTCTGCCACAGATGCTTTTTACTTGTTTTACTCGGATCGATTCAAACAACTGATGAATTAAAAGAAAACCTCCAACAAAGAGTTGCCAGTCGGACCGTGGGCACCTACGACCCGAAACGGAGATGCTGTCGTGTTTGGGAGGGAATGGAAATCAACTGGCTAAAAGGCAACATGAGAATGTCTCCATTGTGGCCCAGGCAGATAAAAACCAACGTTTTTCCACATCAACTCAGTGTGAGCTCAGGTTCCTGAACCTTCATCAGGGTCGTAGTTAATGACTGACACCCCCACCCCCACCCCCGATGCTTCTCCTCCCTTTGTGACATTTACGTTTTTCTTCTGCGCCTCTGAAAACCGACAACTGTCTAACTGGATTAGGTCACCGTGCTAAAACACGTCAACAACTGGGACGCGGAGTCAACACGGTAAACAAACACGCCAGCAGCGTGACAGGCTGATCGATCGGGATGGGGTCGAAGGAGTAGATGGAGTTCTGATGTCCTCGCCGTTTCAGGTGTGATGAATCCCAACAGGATTACTTTTGTTATCAGGGTCGGTTCTCCCTGCATTAGGCTGAAAGGTCCGTTCTTTAAGTCAGCACCGTGCCTTCTAACATGTTTTAAAAGATCTTTCCTGAAAACAACTTAAAGGTGTGGTTCACTGAAACATCATCTTTAGTGATTATTTCTGATTTTAACGGGTCGCTCTGAGTGTTTCATGCAGGCTGAACATGAAAATAGTCTCCTACATCTATCTCCTGCAGTAACTTCCAATAGAAAACAGACGGTGAAACTCTAGGATAAGAAATTCTTGACAGAGCTACGTCACCCTGTCACTAACATTCATGGACTCACCCATCTGGACTCACAACGACGAAGGTTGTTGTTGGTTTAGCGTCCAGGAAACAGCAGAGAACGTCTCTGTTAGTAGAAGCTAACTGTTAGCATTAGCAACTCCACCACATAGCAGAACTCCTCCAGGGGTGCGTTATTTATGGAGATAAAACATCAGCGTTGCAGAGCAAACTGGGTCAGTGGTAGAGTCATGTTGCTGTTAGCCAATCAGAGGAGAGATGTCCAAATTTCAGGAAGTAAGACTCCAGATCCTGCCGTGTCCTGCCCCTCTCCTCCAGCTGATCCAGGCACTTCTGGGCTTTTTTTCACCCCCCCCCCCCAGAGTACGACTTACAAAGCGTTCATTCCTACTAGAGACCCCTGCACATGTTCTGGTTAGACGAGTGTCCCACACCTTTAAAGCTGTAACAGTCCAGGCCCGGCTAATTTAAAGGTCAGTTTCTGATAAAAACTACAAAGAAGATTTATGTCACAAAAGATGCTTATTTTCTCAGTTTCCAACTTTTATGATGACCCTCTTTAATAAAATCACATTTCTGAAGGTGATAACTGTACTTTTTAATAAGAATCACCTAAAACAGGCCATTTAGATTCATTCCAGTGGGTTCTCCTCTGCTCATCATCATGTCGCTCTGCTCCGTATCAGACGAGGTTCTTTTAAAGAACTTGAGCTAATTTGTTACATTTTTCCCAAAAATAAAACACCTGCAACAACCTGAAGACTGATGTTTACACAAAAAATGTTTTTATGTGCAGCCCGGACTGGTGCCGGTCCTCGCCCCACCAGTTGAGTATCCCTGTTCAGATGAAGATTAGCCTCACCATCTGGAAAACTGAACCAGCTATAATTCTTTGTGTTCGATCAGCTGTGGCGGCCATCTTTATTTCTAAAACAGTTGTAGGCAAACAACCCAGAGATTTTTCTCTAATGCAACGGCAAAAACATTATCAGCCAACGGTCACCTTTCAGTGGAAGGCGAGTCTCTTGGATTTAAAACAGATTTCTCTGGATAAAGAGTTCGGACTGTCACACACACGTACCACCTTTATCACACTTTTTATTCACCAACTAAAATCCGTCAGAAACCTCCGACCAGCCTGACAACGAATCTGTGGCAGTTTTCTGCATCCAGAGAGAAAGAAAGTCGAAGAGGGACGCAGCTGGTGGCAGCCAGAGGACCATCTGTTCGTCACTCTATTAGTTCTCACACACACAGAAACTCCTCCTCTTCAGTCTCACACACACACACACACACACACACACACACACACACACACACACACACACACACACACACACACTCCTACAGCATGATTCCTTCTACAGCTTATGTTGCTCTCCTGCATCTTTGACACTTGATGCGCTGCCAGACGATCTCCCATCACAGCCGTCTGCAGCGTTATTCTCACCGTCTGATAGCAGCGTTCCGACGGCTCACCCAATCAAGGCTCGTCGCTTCTGTGTGTGTGTGTGTGTGTGTGTGTGTGGTGTGTGTGTGTGTGTGTGTGTGTGTGTGTGTGTGTGTGTGTGTGTGTGTGTGTGTCAGGTCTAAATCTCTCTCATGATGTTTTGTGACAAAATGACAAAAGTATGATGATTGTTACACATTTTCATCTGTATGGAACTTTAAACACACACTCTCTCACTCTTTCACTCACACACACACACATACACACACACCGACTGTAGGAACTAAAGCCTCACTCACCATACATCTTTCCTTCATCTGACAGAATAATTTTCCTCCTCCCACAGGGCGGATATATGGCCAGGGCCTCCTGGAAGCTCTGCTCGATGTCCGGGCTCCAGACCCCCTCGGGGTCCCCGTCCATGGTCTTGTCCCCCCCTGAATCACTCAGTCTGTCCAGGTCCTCCCCTGGACTCTCGCTGCCGCTCCAGCTACCGCGCTCCATCCTGGCAGCTAACTTCTCCCAGACGGTGTTTGATGAAGAACTAGCGGGTGAACTCGGGCCTTTTATTAATGTTAATAATAATTAACCCCACAAGGGCACAGCTGGGCTTCGGTAGATGTGAGTGGGAACCAGGAGGAACGATGAGTCAGGAAGTCGGAGCAAATACTGATCGGAAAACCTGTAAAAAAAAATTAAAAAAAAATATTTAACTAATCATCTGAGTTACAGTGGTTTTATAAAAAATACACAAATTACCTAAAACAATTAAATATCATAAAATACACAAATATATCGATGCCTTAGTGTGAGTTCAGGTCATTTTAATGTGGAAGGTAAAAACATTCTTGGTGCTTTTGCATTTGTTTGAACCTTCAGGGCCACCGTATTTACACTTCTGCAGCAACCAACTCAGGCCAGGAGGAAAGCCCAAATAAGGTCATATCCTAAAGAAGAAGCTTAACTCAATAACAGGAATCAGAGATGAGACTTTTATGCAAATCAAAATATCCTGATCAATAAATAAAAAAAGCTAAATTTACACTAATTTTACCTGAATAATTTCTTTTTTAATACAGGGAGTGCAGAATTATTAGGCAAGCTGTATTTTTGAGGAATAATTTTATTATTGAACAACAACCATGTTCTCAATGAATCCAAAAAAAACTCATTAATATCAAAGCTGAATGTTTTTGGAAGAAGTTTTTAGTTTTAGCTATTTTAGAGGGATACCTGTGTGTGCAGGTGACTATTACTGTGCGTAATTATTAGACAACTTAACAAAAACAAATATATACCCATTTCTATTATTTATTTTTACCAGTGAAACCAATATAACATCTCCACATTCCCAAATATACATGTTTGACATTCAAAAACAACACAAAAACAAATCGGCGACCAATATAAGGACACTCAAAAGCCTGCCATCCATGGATTCTGTCAGTGTTTTGATCTGTTCACCATCAACATTGCGTGCAGCAGCAACCACAGCCTCCCAGACACGGTTCAGAGAGGTGTACCGTTTTCCCTCCTTGTAAATCTCACATTTGATGATGGACCACAGGTTCTCAATGGGGTTCAGATCAGGTGAACAAGGAGGCCATGTCATTAGTTTCTCTTCTTTTATACCCTTTCTTGCCAGCCACGCTGTGGAGTACTTGGACGCGTGTGATGGAGCATTGTCCTGCATGAAAATCATGTTTTTCTTGAAGGATGCAGACTTCTTCCTGTACCACTGCTTGAAGAAGGTGTCTTCCAGAAACTGGCAGTAGGACTGGGAGTTGAGCTCGACTCCATCCTCAACCCGAAAAGGCCCCACAAGCTCATCTTTGATGATACCAGCCCAAACCAGTACTCCACCTCCACCTTGCTGGCGTCTGAGTCGGACTGGAGCTCTCTGCCCTTTACCAATCCAGCCACGGGCCCATCCATCTGGCCCATCAAGACTCATTCTCGTGTCATCAGTCCATAAAACCTTAGAAAAATCAGTCTGGAGATATTTCTTGGCCCAGTCTTGACGTTTCAGCTTGTGTGTCTTGTTCAGTGGTGGTCCTCTTTCAGCCTTTCTTACCTTGGCCATGTCTCTGAGTATTGCACACCTTGTGCTTTTGGGCACTCCAGTGATGTTGCAGCTCTGAAATACGGCCAAACTGGTGGCAGGTGGCATCTTGGCAGCTGCACGCTTGACTTTTCTCAGTTCATGGGCAGTTATTTAGCACCTTGGTTTGTCCACACGCTTCTTGCGACCCTGTTGACTATTTTGAATGAAACGCTTGATTGTTCGATGATCACGCTTCAGAAGCGTTGCAATTTTAAGACTGCTGCATCCCTCTGCAAGATATCTCACTAGTTTTGACCTTTCTGAGCCTGTCAAGTCCTTCTTTTGACCCGTTTTGCCAAAGGAAAGGAAGTTGCCTAATAATTATGCACACCTGATATAGGGCGTTGATGTCATTAGACCACACCCCTTCTCATGACAGAGATGCACATCACCTAATATGCTTAACTGGTAGAAGGCTTTCGAGCCGATAGAGCTTGGAGTAAGACAACATGCATGAAGAGGATGATGTGGACAAAATACTCATTTGCCTAATAATTCTGCACTCCCTGTATTTGAGACGATGACATAAACTTCAAATCTCACAATAAACCTTTCTGGTGTTTGTTGCAATAACGATGAAAAACAATAAATATTTATCTTTAAAAGGCAAAAACTAAAATGCAGATTTGACTCAAATTGATCAAATTTTCAAAATAAAAGTGCATTTAGCATTTATTTACGCTCTCCTGCAGAAGCAAGCAAACTATCACAGAATGGTTTCTAATTTCATCTCCAAAACAAACAAGTAAACGTTCACTAATGCGCTTCTCCAAGGTAGATAGGAACACACTCAAACGTTTGAGCCTCTATGATTTTGTAGGAGCGTTATTTACATCCGTAATCTCAGCTAAACCAGAGGACTCCTCCGGAATCCCCGAAGAGCTGATTAACTCATCATCGGGTTTCTCGCTCCAGATGCAAACAGCTGGATTTCACCGTCAGATTTTCATCCGGTGCTACAGAAGTGTGATCAGATTCTCCGTTTAGAGATTAAGCACCAAGGTGAGGCCTTTCTTCTGTTCTTGCCTCTCCACATTAAAGCAGATCTTGGTGCTGCGTGTTGCACGACTGCACCTCGGCCGCGGAACCAGATTTATTCTTCCTTTTCACGAAGGAAATTGCCTATTTCGTTAAACCGCCGTGGTCCACATAAGTGGGGTGGGAAGATGAAGGGCAGGCCAACACAAGAGTACTACTACTACTACACACACACACACACACACACACACACACACAGCTGTGAGCAGATTTTAGGAGGGAATAAAAAGAGAAAGTGTAGGGGTTTGCCAGCTGCCTGCGATTCTTCTAAAATCCCCCACAAAAAACAGCAGGGTTGGCATGCGCACACACACACACACACACACACACACACACACACACACACACACACACACACACACACACACACACACACACACACACACACACACACACACACACAGTTACAGTGCCAGCCCCTTGAGCGAACACATGTCATTTAGTCTGGTCTTCTACTGTTCACACTTCCCATGTAATGTCCCTCGCCACAGCCTGAACAAGCCTGCAGTGTGAAGTGTGTGTGTGTGTGTGGCTAATTTTAACACAATTACACTTGACAGCACACACACTTGCATGGAGAGCAGCAGGCAGCTTTCTGGACACACTTTAACCCCGTCGGTTAAACTGAGAGGTTTTTATTTTCCCCACACCTGAGGGAGTCTGCATGAACACCGCCTGGCGCTGCTCCACCCACTCCCATCCTCCGCATTGGGCCGTTCACCCTGCCCGTTTCCTCTCCAGCTTCCCGCCCTCGCCGCCCCCCCTGCAGCAGGCTTCCCATTCAAACGGGGACTCACTCATCCAGCGGGAAGCACGGATGCACCACAGCGACGTTCGCTTCCTTTGAAAAGTTTTAAGAGCGTTTGTAAATAAAAACCTTTTTGCGTTAAGAGTCGAGTATCTCTCTTCATGGGTCAAAAACACAAAAACGCCTCTGAGGATGTTACAAGGCCTCATCTAGATCTTTAAATAAACCTGACCTTCCAACATCCATCTGTGTGCCGTTTCTTCTTCAGAATTTTATAAACACCTAAATATGTTTTTGTGGTAGAAAGAAGGTGAAGGAATAAACTTCTAACTGGTTTATTTTTGGCTTTTTAACCCTTTAAACCTGAAACAGGAGATAATAATAATGATCTAGTGTTAAATCGGAACTAGCAACAGCCGTATTTAAACATCTGAATAAATTTTACTCTAATCGTGACCGAGTGCAGCATCGGGTGCAGATAACAGCTGAGCTCCGGCAGGAGACGACCGCCACAAACGCCGGAGAAGACGTAACATTTTGGTATTCTACTCTTGACTAGCCGTTAGCTTATCAGTCCTGAAGAGATGCGTAAAATAAGAACCATTCGTCCAGTTTTATCCAGAAACAATGTTCAAAGACGGGAAGAATGAAACCATCTTTCTACTTAAATAATGGGAATGATTACAGATCAGAGAAAAGCTTTAAATAAAAATGGTTCAAACTGAATCTGTCGTGAAGACGTTAAAATGAGTGATCTGTTCAGAGAGAATGGAGGATGTTGTCGTTAAAGACAAAGTTTAAGATCAAAGAGGAATTCTTTTCTGAAAAAGGTGAAAAATCTGATGCAGCTACGCTGAATAAAGGCGAGCCGTGAGATTAAAGGCATGGAAACAGACTCAGCCGATGGTCAGATTTCACCTCCAGGAGTTGTGAAAGGGCCCGGTACCGTCTGAAGAGTCAGGGAGATCCTTTCTGTCCGAGGCCTTGACCGAGACGTTTAACGGCAGCGAAGCTCAAAAGCATTCCTGCATTCAGATCTGCTCGTAAAGCCTCAACATAACAAGTTATTCAAATGCAGAAAATTCTGTTCCCGTAGAAAAAGCTCTTGATTGTGGAGATATTTGTAGAAACATCTCATCTCTAAAGGCTCAGCGATGAAAACGATGACAACGGCTTCAATGATTTTTTTCTGCTTCAAATGACGAACAAAAGGCTTATAATAATGTAATAATAGAAAAAACTCATCTAATCACTAAATCTGACATTTTACCTTTATTTTATTTTATTTTCAAAGAGTTCTGCAGTGAAACCACATCCCTGGCGCATGAGCGCTAGGTGTGAGCGGAGGTCGTAAAGTTTAAAAGCAGCAGATTTGGGTAATGGTTCTCCTTAAACTGGTTACTAACGGCAACGACGCGTCAGAGCTCCTCCTCAACCCTGCGCTGCTCTTTGTTTAACTTTGACGTAAACTTTGTGAAAAATCAACCAAATGGGTCATTTCAAAATCCAGTTTCCAAGTTATTATCGTATTTATTACAGGAGCAACACCATCCGACCACACCTGATCCTGTCAGAGAAAGAAACTGCTCTCCTCGTTGAAGAGTGAAGGAACTTTGAGTTTAACTCATTCACCGCCATTGATGACTAAAGTCGTCATTTGCATTTTTTTTTACTGTGTGGGCGTCGGACGAGCCCCCGCACCGTGAGAACAAACATCTCAGCTCTAAAGCCGATCTTCATCCGCGTACGTCACATGATCAGGAAGCAGAACATCCATGTGTTAGATCGTTTT